TGAACACCTTGTCCCTTCCTGTCGCCCTACGACACTTCCAACCATGAAACTCAAGAACAGGAAGCGAGCAAGAAGAGTTACAGTGACTGGACTATGAGCTACTGAATAAATGGGCAGGAACCATTTTTTTCTTGGGCTATCTCGTTACTCCACCCTCTACCCTTCAAACGGTAACTTGATAGTAACAGAACCTGGGTAGCAGACAGCAGTGACCTTGCTCTGGATTCAGCAGCCGGCGAGGTGTAAACACAGAGCACAGCATAAGCAGTGGATCGGCGGAAATGTCTCTGAAGGGATTCCCCTAACGTTTCCCTCCACCTGTTTCTGAGCTGCATTTCTGTTGAGCTGAACATGTGCCGCGTAACACTGTGAAGCATGTTTGTCGCGTTATATCCCATACTGGTCACCAGAGTCTATGCGAGTCCCTAGATCTACCTACCAGTAGACAGGAAATATGAGAAATATCTTCATCACCACCAGGAGGATGCAGTCAACAAAATGCCAGGACGTAGGGGATTCTACGGCCTAGCTACTCAAAAGTGTCGTTCAGGGATCAGACGCAGAGGCAGTGCGTCCAGTGGGATCTGTTAACCGGTGGACTCCGGGCGCCACCCCCGTCTGCGTTAGAGTCTTTAATAAGATCTCCCCGATTCATATGCCCGTTTGCGTTTAAGAATCAATGTCCTACAGGATAAACAAAAAAATCCAAAACAAAACAAAAATGCAGAAACACACACACACAGACACACGCAAAGAAGAAAGGGAAGCTCAGAGTTTAAAGAGACTTTAGAGATGCATCAACCAAATGCAATGGGTACATGATGATTTTGATTTGAAAAATAATTATGGAAAAGTATTCATACGGGTTTTAATGTTTCTATCTACTTCTTTGAGTTAATGACTAAATGGAGTGATGTAAAAGTTGCTTAATTAGGAAAATATATAAATTTTTAATTTTTAGAGAGTAGCACTGCTGGTGATTCTGTGAGGACATGCGAGATAAAGTGAAAGCCAACCAAAAGCTGAAAGACTGGAGAATACGACTGGTAAATTTTAAATGTTTCTATGTCGAATAAGGCAGAACGTTTCACTGAAATGGAAATTCACCAGTCTAGGAAAACCTATTTGCAGCACTGCTTGGTCCTAATGAAGGACGGGAGGAGGGTAGGTTTCTCCAAAGCAGCAGGCTGGAGGGGAAGGAAGTGGCTCTGGGCAAGTGCTACCTTCTCACTGAGTGTAGGTGGCTATCTGCAGAGCGGAGAATGATAACCGCACTGTGCCTCCCTGGCAGAGCTGTCAGGTTCAAATGCAAGAACGGGGTGGGAGTGACCTGTAAACTCCAAAGCGCCAGTCAGATGTTATATGCCTTTTTGTCTTTTCTTTTTAAGACACAGAGGCAATGTGGTCTAATAGCATGGGCTTGGGATTCAGACAGGATACCTAGGTTTGTATTCCAGCAACTCCCTCTGTGGAACTGGAACAAGTGAAGAGCATCTCATATTTCCAATTTCCTCATCTGCAAAATGAAATAATACTCACTGGGATAGACCTGTGTTATCGGCAAAATACCTGCTTTCCCTCCCCCGTCGGGCCCCATCCCGCACAGCCCCTGCAGGAGGACTGAAGATCCATTCGCTAATGGCCGCTCCAGCCAAGGGACGCCTCTGGTTCAGAGGCATGAGCAAACAGGAATGAGTACAATTTGCAAATATTACAAAGATGACTCCAAATCTCAGCTAACCTCTTTTCCAGATTGCAACCACTTGTTTAGTCTTTCATGAAAATACAGGCTAAAAACAAATGCTTAAATGTATCACGTGTGAGAGTCTGGAGACTAAGAAATCCCTGAAAGAGCAGTAAGCCGTGACTATTGTAAAGCTCAGAACAGTGGCGAGGCTTAATTGCAAAGTATTTAACAGAAGGCCACAAATTTTGTTTTCCTAAGAGGAGCTAGGAACTATAGGTGTCACTTAGTAATGCATTGAAATGGCATGTGCCACTTCTATGAGGGAGCTCCAAGAGCCATAGCATGATTCTACCATTCTCTTCCCTCTGCCATGAGGGGCAGTGACCCAGACAGTGACTGCTCCTTCTGGGTCCCAGAGTGAGTTGGACATGGGCCTGCGAAAGGACTCAATGTGCATGTGAGCAAGAAAGCAGCCTCTTCCTCACAGCTGGACATCTGGGGACTGTCAGTTAGTGCCTGTCATCTAGCAACAACCAATCTACCTCCCTCTGTGCACGATTATAGTGCATATTAAATGTGGTTATGTATGGAGAGTACCTGAAAAAATAATAGCTGCTCTTGTCAATTACCGTTTGTTCCCTTCTCCCCATTAGCATTCATGAAGCTGATACCACTGCCGAGAGCAGCTGCCAGGCTGTCCCATTTGCACATCAGAAACTCAATAAGAGCTTAGTCACTAGTTTTAGGGACCTACCATTTGCTAAAACCTAAGACATACTCAAAATGTGATAAATTTTGTTATTTCAGCCTAACAGCCCTAGGAGATTGATTTTGCATTCCATTTTACAAGGAATGTAATTTGTAATGGAAAGGTAGAAGGCATATTGACGGGACTGGCAAAAGAAAAATAACAGCCTTCAGTAGTTCTGAGTGAAAATATAGGCAAGGACACAAGAACTATCCAATTTTTTTTTTTTTTTTATAATCTTCACCTGAGGATATTTTTTCCATTGATTTTTAGAGAGTGGAAGAGAGGGGGGAGGGGAAGAAAGAGAAAGAGAAAGAGGGAACAGTGATGTAAGAGAGACACATCTACTGGTTGCCTCCTGCACCCACCCCAACTGGGCTGGGGATCCAACCAGCGACACTTTGGTGAGCAGGCCACTGCTCTAACCACTGAGCATGCCAGCCAGGGCTAACCAGTTTTTAATGAATTATATGCTAGAGTGAATTAGTAATTCATAATTAGTATCAGGGTCATGCTCAAGGCCTAACGTCTTTCATTCAACTGCAGGAGTGAAGCCAAGAGACTCAGAATGAAGACTAGTCAAAGGGAGCTGCTATGAGCGTGGATGTGGATGTGTCGGGCAATTCACACACATACACTAAAAAATATGCACACATATGTAGCTAGATACATCTGTATCAGTATGTATAATCTTTCATAATAAATCTGAGGCTAAACAATTAAATAAACAACATACGCAGGTTGTACATGTTGTTTGTACAGCAATGCAGGAAAGTCTAGTTAACAAGGGAACAAGGAAATTAGACGTGAAAATGGGACCCTGCACGGAAGGGCAGCACACTTTTTTACAAACATGGAAGCCGGAGTTACCCCTGCAGGGAACGACTGGATTAAACTCATGGACAAGAAAGAGGGAAAGAAACAGAGCAGGAGTTGTGGCCAGATCCAGGCCTGTGCTGAGATAGGACAGCTCCAGTCAGATTAGAAATGTCGTGTGACTTTCCCCAAGGCATACAGCTAATAACAGAGCAAGAACCAGGTCTGATGTACAACACATGTGATCAGTCCACTGAGCACCAGAAAATAGGTTTCCAGAGGCGAGTACAGTGCAGATGTTAATCTTGAAAACATGTTTTAATTCTATTTAAACAACACACATAAGCTTTTTCCCCCCTAAAATGTTTTTACCCCAAAATATTTAGATTATACAATAAAATACTACAGAAAAACAAAACTGATTTTAAGACAACAAATGCTCATGGTATACACTGCTGGTTCTCGGTGCTTCTTAAGCAAGAATGTAGAACTAAACAAAAGCAAGAACTACAAAAATAAGCTATTCTATAGGAAAAATAATTCACATACAATATTTAACTGTCATTTGCTTTCTGCTGACCTTTCTTAGTAAGTAATCACTATACATGTAATTAAGATGAGTCCATTTGAAAATGCTTACTGACCACCAAACTGTTTCAATACATTTGGCATGCTAGTAGATGGCAAGCTTCAGTCAACCTCAGTTACTTTCAAAAAGTAACTCTGGAATAAAATACAACCATTTCCAGTTTCTTGTTTGTGTTACTCCTGAAATCTCCTTTAGGTCCGCAAAGCATTTCTATGCCCAGACTTTGCGTTGGAAGCTTACGCCAATTATAGGGCCTTATCAATCCTTTATCAGTTTAATCTATGCAATAGTTAAAATCCTTAATCCAATTTATCTAAAGCATCCAAAGTTACTAATGTACATAAACAGGATTGCTGAATGTGTATCTATAGTTACCTAAAAGTTACTCTGGGTTAACATACATTTGGAAATATTAATAGTTTTTAGTTTGTGCAATGGAAGAATCTGTCTTTTTTGCTATTTCACGTGAATTTGTTCAAAGTTCTTTCACTATCACTCTTGGAATAATGCGTAAAATAATTTTAAGCATTTAATTCTTAAAATAATCTAGCTACTCTCATCTTACTTACTAATCTTCAATACCTATGTCATCAGTGCACTTAAAATGTCTTAAAACAATCTAAACTATGGAAGGATCTTGCAAAACCTCCCTCTTGGTGGTGTGTGAATGAGGAAACTCACAGGGATGTTGAGTGGTCTCCCTCATCCTCAGGGATATTCCATTCCCCAGTCACCTGTTAACTCCAGGTGCTCACACTGAGACAACCAGCCAGCAGTACAACACCCAGCACTTGCTTGCTACCATTTTTAACACCTGGCTGGGTCTGGGCTTTCACCGGGACTATAATCATGAAAACAACAAAGCTGAGTATCCAGCCAACCATAAGGACTCTCACATTATCCCAGTGAACCAGTATTTAAGCAAAGTACGTGGCAAAATAAGTGAACACTTTCTGAAACAGAAATAAGAGTTCTAAAGGTGGATTTTAGCTGATATGCAATGGGGGAGGGGGGAAGCTAGGAAAAAATCGATTATTTTTAATGATACCTTTAGGTTGTCAAGTAGTTATTTGCAAAGCTATTTTTCTGATCCAAGTTACCATTTATTTCCAGTGACATCCATCGGACCTGGGAGTAGTATCAGCTTTGGGATAACTTACGGAGAGAGGACGTGCTGGGGGTGCCCCGGAGGAACTGGTGAAGGCCGTCTTCGCTGTCGCTGGTGCTGGCTATGCTGTTCCTCATCTCCAGCATGGAGATCTGTGTGCAGAGGCTGAGCTGGTGTTCCAACTTTTTGGCCTTCTAAAATGCAAAGTTTCAAGATTTCTGATACCTATGGGACTTAGATCAGACATTCCCTATCAGTAGCATTTACTTTTCCTTGAAATAAAAAGACTACCTGGTACAAAGTGAGTGCCCTATAAGTGTCCGCTATAATTTTTACTTTCTGATATTACTATAAATACCCTATCATAAATTCAATATACTCAATAGCCTATTTATTAATCTTAAAAAAATAATAAGCACCACCCTAATTTGATAAACCACCTGGACAAGATGACCTTAAGAGAGCACATACCTATACTCATAGTCCTTGGAGCACAGTACTTATAGTAGAAAGGGTGTTTTGCAAGTTCTCGTCTGTGATCGTTTTAATTTCCTTCTAAGCAAATGCGGGGAAATAAATATTAAATTGCAAATTGTTGAAGATCTACACAGCTCTGAAATTCCGAACTGAATTGCTACGGGCCTCCATCCCATACCCCTCTTGTCACTTGAGGGCTGCCTGGGAAAAAGTATGACCAGGAGGATTTGCAAGACTGGAAGACCCCATGGTTAAAATGCAAACTTCTTGCTCACTGGGGTCCGTCAGCGGTTCTCAGTCTGCAATATCCCCACTGCCCTGCCTTCCCTGGCTCACTCCAACCCCCACTGCCTCGAATAACTCACAAACCATCTTCCTTAGATTTCTTAAAAGGCTCCTTATGAAGAGGACAGCACCTCATTGCCATCAGTGGAGGTCCCTGACATTTAGAGAACCTCACTCAGTAATGGCAAATGTGATAACTACAAAATATTTCCCAGCACTTGAGAAATGATTCCCTGAAGGCTCTCTAAAGAATAAGCATTCCCACTTCACTTAGCATGTGGCTAATTAATGAAAATTCAGGAAACTATATATTGCATTAAGTGAGGTGTACTTCACTATGCATATTTATTTAGCAAAATAAACACGCTCAGAAAAACACTTACTTTATCATTTAAGGTGGGGTCATTCAACGAGTAGAGCTTATTTGTAATGTCTTTTCCTATAAGATACCTAAATATTTCATAAAGGAAAGGTTCGGATTCCAGAAAGTAAGTTAATCTTTCTCTTGACCAGCATAAGAATCTACAGTTATCGTCTGCAACAATGGTGACCTGAAAAGAAACACAGAAAGAAAAAGGTACATCTATGTATATGAATTATAACCACAGTAATTTCGGGGAAGAGAAGAGCAGAATAATTTGGTGGATGCTATTACAGCAATGATTTGTCATACCAGTTAAATTAAAATAAGATCCATACAAATAAGCTTCTATAACTATGTGTAAAATTATGTTTAAAACCAAGCAATCTGCAGACTAAAGAAAAGGAAATTCTCTGGGTTTTGTTGTTGTTTCACGAGGTGACAGAAGAATGGCCACTGTGTCCATAGCACTGCTATAGAGCGTATTAGGCTGATGTTCCAGTTGGACGTATAATTTATGGCTAAATATTTCTTTATACCCTGAAGGTTACAACAGAGGTTTAAGAATACAGCTTCAAGCAAAAAAACCCCAAAAAACTGAGGTAAGATTCGTGAGACCAAGTTACAGATGAAAGGCCTTCTCCAGCCAAGTCTGCCAGCACACACTAGAGGAGAAAACCGACTCATGAATTGGTTTTAGGGCCCAAGCTGTTACTAACAAATATGGCTAGCGAGGGACCTTCTCTGATCTTTCAGTTACACTATGTCTTGAGTGTGATCTTTCAAGACTAGCTCCAATGTAGCCCACTGGGGACACACACAGAGATCAGCACTGGGAAACGATATCCTTTCCTTGAGTCTTGTGACACAGAAAAGTGGGAAAGCACTATAATTGCACTACATAGAGTTCAGTGTTCCTCGAATTAATCCTTTCTCCAGAGTGGGGGATCATGCCCTCACAGCTCAGGGTCAAGAAGCTCTTCCTTCCACGCAGGTCCCCTCCCTTCAGTTAGTACTTCTCCTCTGAGCTGCATGTGGCACTCACAGCACTGAATCCTGGCAACTGTCTTTCCTGAGCACAATGGCAGGAGGGGCTGTGCAGCTTCATGTCAGAATGTCTGTCTTTAACACAGAGTGTGCTCAGTGCATGTTTGCTGAGTGAAGCAATTATCAAATGAACATGAATACTGCTGAAGGCAGTAACCATTTCTCTATCTCAACATTAAACCCCAGGCCTATCCAGGTAGGAAATTAAGAAAGGTTTGTTTAATTGATATGAAGCAATATCTGGGCCTCAGGGCAAATATTTCAAAAGGAGCTCTTTCCCCTTTGCTAGTCACAAAATTAAACATGTTTCAGATGACAAGGGGTTACTTATGTCCACTAACAGAGACAACAGAAAAACCCAGCTTCTCTCCTTATGTCAATAGCTGAAATCAGAGAGTTTGGCCACCTTAAAAAGTGGTCAATATGCCTAGAAAGAAATTAGCAATTATTTATTATCTTAAAAGTAGGAATCTCCAAAACCAAATACACTGGATTTAAGAAATGTATTAGCAGCTCTGTGACTCCATAAAATACTAAATTCCATTCATTCTTTCAACATATATTATTATGAAGGCACTTAATGCTGACACTGTTCAAGGCACTGAGATTACAATGGTGAACAATAAAGACAAGATCCTTGCCCTGTGAAGCTTACATTCTAGCGAAGGAAGCTGATAATAAATAAATGAAATACGGCACTCTCGGGTAGCAACAAGTATTTGACAAATACAGAACAGGGGAAAGTGGTAGAGAATGACTAGGGAATCACAGTCACATATAATGCCACTCATTTTATATAAGTATTAATCCTCAAAATTGCCTTTAAGAAAAGACAGGTAATAGTCTTCCCTATTTTTCAGATGCCAAATGAGAAGCACCAAAAAAGCAATTCACGAACATACGTTAATTAGTGGTGGAGTGAGCACTTCCGGCTTTCAGCCCGGGCATATTTTCCCACCAGGCCAAGCCCCTACCCAATGTGTCCAATATTCTTCAAGATGACCAAATAGAAAGTAATCTGGCCTAGTGAACAGAAGGCTGGCTCACAGAACAGCTGAGCACATGTCATAAAGTTGATATTCTAGTGGAGGAAGCCAATAATAAGTAAAAACATATGACAAAAAAGATAAGATTTATAGGATGAGAAGTGTAAGGTCAAGTCAGCCCTTAGGAGCTCCCGGAAACAGAAGACGGGTAAGTAAAGGCAAGGGGACTGAATAATATCCTACAGGAGTGATTAGAGAAAGGTGAGCCCAGGTACTCACAGCGGCCTAGCCATGCCCGGAAGCGCTGAAGAAAGGGTTTGCAGAGTTGAGGTGCCTGCATTTTGCAAAGCTGTCATCCATGACTTTGGAAAATATAATTCATGTACAGTGGGACATGGAATTAAAAAAGGAGCTGGAAATCATCCAGGAGAAGAAATTGCATCTAGGTGATGGATAAGGCATTTAACTTCTTTTCAATTGTTTTAATAAACCTCATTTCCACTGAGGCAATGATACTTTTAATATGATATTATATTTTGCTTATTAGCAAATCCATTTCTTATGAATGGGTTGAAAAATTCTTTAAACATGGTTAAATTATTATTAAGTTTAAACTTAACAATAGTATTTAAATCATAAGCTATTGCTGCAGTACGTATGAGTAACTCATGAATCCATAAGAGCAAGTATTTAGTCAGAAGTGGGTAGTCAATGATTTCCTGTCACAACAGTCAAGTAAAATATTTTAATGAAGAATTTTTAAATCAATATTGGAATATTTAAAGCTTCTGAAAAATAAATTTGCTTCTTGAGGTGTTAGGGTAACTCAGCAGTGACGTACTTCAGTTCTTATGAAGAATTTTACTGAAGAAATGGAAGACATGAAATCATTTCTTTCAGGTAGAACTCAACTGAGCATTTGTAACCGGGTTTGCTGTGATTACCTCAAGGTACTGGATCAGTCCCTCTCTTTAGAGTCCACACCACTCTATACCCTCACACAATGAGAAGATGATACACAAGCCCAAGAGTGTCTGAGGGAATTGCTGAATGGGCTAGAACCGGAAACAGCATTCTGGCAGTATGACTGCTTGACCGGCCTCAGGGAAGAATTTATTATTTTCTTTATGTGTTGTACATTTCACACACCAGGAACATGAAAATGTCTTAGAAGTGGTCTATTCAGCAAATTCTCAATGAGTTCTCATAAGCATTAAAACACAGCAGAGTCACAGAAAATAGCATGGTGAAGGCTTAGGGTGATGGGGTGTGGGTGCGGGGAAGGGGTCAATGGGGGAATGAAAGAGGACATCTGTAATACTTTCAACAATAAAGATAAATTTTTAAAAATACAGCAGAGTCAAAACTGGCAGATTAAACTGTTTCACAGCTTAACCAAAATATTTATTTAATACTAAGACAAGGTTTCATTTAAATACAAGTTAAAACTTAGTGTTCATTTATTTCACAAGAGCTCGGACATCTGCCTCCAAGGCATACTCCTTCCCTTAAATTCAATAAGCTTTGATTTTGGGGCTTCACAGCATAGAACGTGCTATCAACTATGGGAAGGCAAAAGAAAAAATGCAAAAGAAAAACATGTAAGTGGCAAAGCTCACTGAATATAAGAGAACTGCACAAAGAAGAAGAAACGGAATATAAAAAACTGTACCTTTTATAATAATGATACTCAAAATTCTATTAAGAGTTCTAAGTCGCAACTTTGGTCTGGAAGTACCAAAACGACCGTAAGCACCTAGGGAGCAGCCGTAAGTTCAGAATTTGTTTTCTCAACTCTACCACTGTGTCTGTCACTACAGTTACCACATGCACCTGAACATTTGCCCTGCAATCTCAAGGGACAGTCAAGTCCACCTGCCTTTCTTTCCTCCTTTCATCCTATTGTACAATTCATTAGTATCCCTACCAAAGAATAAATTGAAATAAAAATGTAAAGGAAGTAGCTCCTTGTTCAAATACTTTTAACTGTTCAGAGTTAGAGAAAAATGAGACTAGTAGGTAAAGAGTATGTGAGTGGAACAGGTACCACTGACAATTTCAAGTGTCCTCTGCCATGGGCACAGGTAGTAAGAAGTTGGCCCTGGGAACACATGACATTTTCATTTGGGAACTTGCTTCGGTAAGAGGCAATATGCTCCTACACAGATGTGCAACAGCTATTTTCACTCTTGAATAACTGCCAGTGGGAACATTTTGTACACAATCTCTCCAGAGGGCTCACTCTGATGGAGTCTGCACCAATTGTACAGGATACAGGCTCAATGATGCTGGAGTGATTGTGATCCATTGCTCAGTTAGGAAAAGCCACACCAGACTCTATGCAGAAGAAAGCTGACTGGTGCTTGGAAAGGCTGGATACATACCCTTCACCCAGCTATGGTATGGAATCTTCACAGCAATTATCAGGAACATTTACCAACTACGAAACCCCAATCCCAGTCCCCAAGAAGAAAGAGTACTGTAACTACTGGTAGAAATTCCTTTTTTTGTTAACTTAATTATAAATAAAATAATCTGAAGTCCAGTAGAAATGATAGTATATGTTATATCCCTTGCCTCTCAGGGGCCATTTGCTTCTGGAAATGAAGGAGGTTCAGTTCCTAGCCTCTCCAAATCCCACCCTCTTCAGGATCATATGAGACTGAGCTATTGTGTAAAAAGCACTTGCTACTATACACAGAGAAATGAATGCAACAGATAAAATTTGGGCTTTGGAAAATGAAATTGTAAGGCGGTCAGAGGAAAGACGGAGAGAGGAAAAAACTGGCCTTGTTCTAGTCTGTAGACAGCGCTGATTGAGGATACAGTAAAATCTCGGTGCATAGCTGACTCTCACAAACACAAGATGAGAGTGTCAACTACAGAAGCCCGGATATAGCATTTGCTTTCTTCCATAGCTTAGGCTCAAGCAGCTCAGGAATAGCACTGCACCCAGTTAGTGAACTTATCTGAGACCTTCTAGTAAGTGCACATCACCCTAACAAGTTGTACTGTTACTCGGGCCAGTTACTCAGGCAGGGTGGGAGTAGGGCAGGGCAGAAACCATTGCAAATAAGCTAAACTGCACGTCTGTAAATTTTCCCTTTAATCTCCATGCGGCATCCCAAATTGTACAGCATCCAAATTGTATAGCATCTAAAAATGAGACTTGAAAATAAGATCTGTCATCAAGAATCACTGACTTTTCCTCCCTTAGGCAATAACATCCCCTTCTATTCCATTTCTTACCTACACAGGTTTACCCTCTTGCTCAGAAGCAGCCCTGCTCAGAGATATTCTCTTACTGCTGTTTATCTAGAGGCTGAGACTAAAGGAAGCTGTCACCCATTTTCTTGGTTACTTCCCTACCAATAATGAGGGGAATAAAATAGGAGGGCTGGGTACTTAGGGAAAGAATCACAACGAAGAGCCACAACATGGAGCAATTTTTTTTTTTAAGATACAAAAAGAATAACACTGAGTGGTCCATGTTCAAATTGTTATAACTACGAAAAACTTCATTCTCTGACCTTAAACACATTCATTAACTATAAAAGAGTAAAGTGATTAGAATTTCACGAGTATTAACAACATAAAATTTCCTAGGGCAAAGCCAGTTTTCTGTTTTTCCCAAATAAAAGCAACCAATTACATGTTTTAGAAACACTGATTATCTACAACTGACCTTTTCCTTCTTTCTGTAATAAAAGTATTAGAAAATTATAAAAATGCAAATTAGCAAAAAGAAAACAAAAATAGCAATCAAACTCAACAAACCAGAAATAACAGTGTTAACACTACGCACAAATTAGGATAAATCTTTCTAGACTTCTTTTTGTGCACATATATGCACATTTAAAGTAATATATAAATAAGATCATATTATATATACCACACTGTAACCTCTTTTTTCAATAAATCAAGGCCATTTTTCTATAATATCCTTTGGACTTGAATGAGACATGAACTAGTTTCAATCTTCTTTAAAATCAGGCCAGATTTTAAAAGCTCTCATCACAAGACAAAAAAATGTAACTATGTATGGTGATAAATGTTAACTAGACTTATTGTGGTGTCATTCTGCAATATATACAAATATTGAATCATTACGCTGTACACCTGAAACTAACATAATGTTATATGTCAAATACACCTCAATCTAAAATAAATACACAAATAAAGTAAATATCCCCCCCAAACCCATGCCAAACATACCTGGAATTTTTCACCTTTGTGCATCTGAGTTGATCTAAACTCAGGAGAATCTATAAAGGCACAGGGGTAAATGTTATGCAGAAAATGTCCTCGATACGAGACCTTCATTCTGGTAACAGAAATTAATGTTAATAAACATACAATATTTCACAAAATAGCAATGACAATCCTTAAAATCTCCATAATCTTATGGGTTTTGATTTTATACTAAAGTTTTAAAGACTCCACAGATGACTGACATAATTAAAAGTACTTCCTGAAGACAAGTGCTTATTTCAAAATAAATTTCACCAACAATAAAATAAAAAAGACAGGTTCCAGTATTGAACCAGGCATGTGCCTTCCAATGGCTATCCTCGCTCTGACCATACTCAAACTCAGGCACTTCTGAGAGAGAAAGGGTGGTATTAATTATTATGCCACAACAATATACACCAGGCTCTCCCCAGAAGACTGATATTCCTAGAAGTTATATTTATGATATTCAAAAAAATAATCACCCCTGAAACATGCACAAGCTTCCTGATCTTTAATGCCTAGTTAAAACCTACTTCAATTCTGACTCATTAACTTTAAAGTAAAGGGTCAAAAAAGATTAACAATGTTTACAATAGAAAATCCTCACATCAACAAGGTTGAGAGCGGCTAATTCCAGGTAGCTAACATGTTGCTCTGTAGTATTCCAAAATGCAGTCGTGCAATGAAGGTTCACCACCAACAAACTCTGTGCTCGCTTCCTCCATTATGTGGCATCACTCCCTTCCACTCATTTCCTACCCAAAGGCCATGAGAAGATCACTTACTTTCCCTTCAGGAGAATGCTCAGACGGTCATCGACGGAGGTTTTATCCTCTGAAGCGTAAGTCTGGCCCTTTGTCAAGGTTTGGATCATACAAAACTGCCCAGTTAATCTTCTGAACAAATCTGGAGGCACGCGGAGTGGTTCAAACAATCGCCGGTAGATGCCATGGAGTTCCTTTTCGATCTTGACCTGAAACGCAGCAACACCGAAACCCTGGCTTCTGTGCTCTAAACCCAGTCTTGAGAATCAGTTTGTAATACATACCATCACCCTTCCGTCTTTCAGTCAGCGGGCTCTTACACAGAGAGTAAGTGGTGATATAAGTGTAGATGCCAAAAGGGCACTTTTGCAGTTAAACAGAACTGAGAGCAAATGGGAAAGATTTGCCTTTTTGATCAATCACATCTCTTCCTACGTGCTGTAAAGCAACTGTGGAGGTTTTAAATGTTGTTAGCATTCACCTTCCCACTCTAAGCATTTTCTGTAAGTAACACAAAACCTTTTCATTTTTAGAACAATATTGTTTCAAAGAAAGAAATTACACTAATTTTGAAATATTTAGCAAGAAAACAAACACACAAAATAGGAATCAACGTGGAAACACACTGATGAAAATACATACAATAAGCATTTTACTTACACGTAATCATCATTTAATGCATCAATATAGGAAAACAAACATCCACAGCTGCAATCATTGTAAATCGCTAGTATGTTTATTAAAGTCGCCTATAAATAATTAATTTTATAAATAAGCAAAGATATTCCCAAGTGACATCTGAATATCAGTAGACAAAAGAAATAATGAAGTTATGTGATGAAAAAGAGACCATAGTGTCAGGTTGTCTCATGTCTAAACTGCCCTAATGATTTAAAAAGTTTAAAAAACTCATTTGTATAACACATTTCACGATATTCAAATGTTTCACTTTCAGGCATATATAAACAGTAAGTCTCATCTGGAATGATATTAAAGGGTCTAAAGATGTTAGATGCTCATTCTCAAGTCTGAACAAAGTACTCTAAAAGCTTGTTAGCTTTAAAATCTCTTGCTTACTAATTAACTTTTAGTAATTACCGGTCTTTTCTTGTACAAAAGATATGAAAGATGCAAAAGGTTGACACCGAGGAACACAGAGTTCCAGATCACGATATCCAAGGCACATCGGTAGAGAGTGGCCCACATGATGTAAAGGGAGCATCCTGTTGAACAACAAAATTAAATATGCAGGTGCTTAGAACAGCTTCAGCATGAAGCTTAATAAATTTGTAAAATAAACTGAACACATTCTAGAAATACCTAAGCGAAACACTGCATTAAGTTTCATTTTTTGTCTGATTATCAAAAAAAGAAAAACATGCTTTGTTGCATAAAATTTGTCAAGTTAGAAAATATTTTTTAAAACAGGAAAAATATCCACAATTCTACTACTTAAAGAAAACCACGATTGACATTACCTCTTTATTGACATTATAATACTTCTTTACAGTCTTTACGCATTTTTATCTGATGGCAAAACTACCATATAGAATTTTAAAACCTACTCTTTTACTTATTGCAGTTTTCCCATTATATTAAAACTCTTTGCATATGTAGTTTGTTTTTTTGCAGGTGAATCTGGAATTGTTTTTACTTTTATGATACATTATTAAAATATCCAAAATAATTCTATTGTAATTCTGAGTGTTAACAAGTCATTAACTCATATTAGTGTAAGAAGTAGTTTGGATTACAGAAAGCTACTGACTGTTTTAGAGGTTTATTATCAGTAAGCTATGGACAGTAAATAAAATAATAAAGTAGTGTCCTTTGAATTCATCCAAGAGGAAAATAATTGCATTTGGTTAGCCATTTGGAGTTAGAATTATCTTTACAGATACATTTATCTTATTTAAATATCATAGCAACCTTTTGAGATAAGGTTTATTACAATTTCATTTTAGATATGAGGTAGCATATGTAGCTTTTAATGACTGTAACTGATTAAGCCATAATTTATCCAACCATCTCCCTACCGGTGGACAGATGAGATTTGAGGTATAATTTTTGATAAGGAACCAAAACATCTTTATATGTAAAAATTGATCTGCTTTTGTGACTGTTTGCTTAGGGGTAGATTACCTGACAGTAAGTCAAGGGAGTGAATTTCATAGCTTTTGATGATACTGAAGAATTGTTTTTTAAAAGGTTTCTAGAAATTTGCAATCCTACTAGTTGGGAATGTAAGTATCAAATTGTCATTACAAAATTTTTAAACTTTTTTTAATCCCTACTCAAGGATATTTTTTCCATTGCTTTTCAGAGAGAGTGGACAGGAGAAAGAGAGAAACACTGACGTGAGAGAGACACATCAATTAGTTACCTCCCCCCCAAAAGCAGGCCGTGGATCAAGCCTGAAACCAAGGTATGTGCTCTTGACCATAATCGAACCCAGGACCCTTCAGTCTGTGGGCTGACACTGTAACCATTGAGCCAAACTGGCTAGGGCAAAATTATGAAACTCTTAACTTGATAGTGAGGAATTTTGTATAATATGTATAATTATATTTTGCCTTTCCATGATTTTTGGTGAATTGAGTATTTTACCCAAATCTTCTAACCATCTGAATTTTAACTTGGTGGTTATCCATTCATCTATGAGAATCTTCCTAGTTTTTCTTATCCATTCTCTTACTTTAAATAAAGTAGCAATAGCTCCTTTTGATTAATACTATGGTGAAAAAGTTAATATATATATTTTAATTTAAAATAAAATTATCAATATGATACAAATATATCAATGACACTCACATAAAAGCTAACCTCCCATGTTAAAAAGTTACTCACTTGCAAATTTTTATTTCATCAGAATAATTTGGGGCATCTAAATAACATAAAATGTAAAACTTTAAATGTTCTTTAAATATTTCATAACAAAATTTGAAGAAATGTAAAATATTATTGAAATGAAACAAGGTAACCTAAAGGAAGGGGTGACTGGGAAGCTGGAGGACCTGAATTATAGTCCTGGTTAGGCCACTTTGACCTATAATCCACCAGGAGATCACGGTTTGATTCTCGGTCGGGGCACATGCCCACATTGCAGGCTTGATCCCCAGCAGGGGGTGTGCAGGAGGCAGTGGATCAATGACTCTCTCATCATTGATGTTTCTCTCTCTCTTTCCCTCTCTCTGAAATCAATTAAGACATTAAAAAAAAGAATCACTGGCTAAAATAACAAATTCAATTGTTTTAGTACTTTGATGTGAATCAATTTAATCTGCTTCATCGGGATACTAGAGCCAAAGAAAGTTTTAAACTGTTGTGTCTGAGTAATTGCTCTTATTGTTAATGTTGCTTTGCTGCCCATAGCAAGTATATGCCTACTCAAATAATAATATTTAAGACTATATAGTACTTACTACGTGCCAGGCACTATTGTAAGTCAAATGTGTACACACACTCATTTAATTCTCACAACAACCCTAGGAGGTGGTTATTATTTTTACCCTATTTGACCCATGGGGCAACTAAGGTATAGAAAGGTTTAACCACTTCCTCCAGTTACACAGTTAGCAAGTGCTGGAACCAGGATTCAAATCACACAATATGGCTCCAAAATCCACACTCCTACACACAAATAAATTTTCTGATATCTGGGAAATTCAAACAACATATGAAAACATACAAAAGTTTATCTAGAGTAAGTAAGAGAGCAGTATGGCATATGAAGGCCTATGTTCTAAGTTACTTGATATTCTGCTAAGTCAATAACGCAGGCATATTTTTGGTATGCTACAGGCCTGACAAGGAATTCTCTAAAGCTCCCAGTTACAAAACCCATCTGATGTCAGTTTACAAAAGTGACATAAAAATCTCAGGTATCTTACCTACAGCTAACAGCCCCCTAAGAAGTATCATATGGAGGTGAAAAGTAGTTGGAACAACCAACCCAACTGCAAAAAAAATATTTGCTACATGAAAAACTAGATGATGTATCTCTCTCCAGTTTTCACAAGTGGTCTCATTGGAAGGCACAGGTGTAAAACCTATTGAAGCTGATTCTGCCAGTGGGCTGGCCTCAGTATAATTCATCTTGAAAATTCCTGTAAAAACAAAAAAAAGGACAATCAAAAAAATGGCAGCTGTATTTTATCACCCCGATAGGTGTTATATCAAAATTATTTCTGTGAACTAAATGTTGGTAAGTAGACTTCTCTGGTGATTATGAATTAGAGAGACCAAAATCACAGCTGTCACATACTGAATCCTTATCTGTTAAATGATAATAATTCCTCTTTTTTTTTTTTTTTAAATATATCTTTATTGATTTCAGAGAGAGGAAGGGAGAGGGAGAGAGAGAGAGTTGCAACATCAATGATGAGAGAGTTGTCACTGATCGGCTGTCTCCTGCACGCCCCCAACTGGGGATCGAGCCTGCAACCTGACCGGGGATCGAGCCTGCATGTGCCCTGACCAGGAATCGAACTGAGATCTCCTAGATCCTAGGTTGATGCTCAACTACTGAGCCACTCCCGGACAGGCAATAATTCCTCATTTGATTTTATGATTAACATTTGACTTTATCATTAAATGAAATAAAATATATAAAACACTGAGCATAGTGCATAACTCTTCTCTGATATATATGTATCTGTAATATATATATATATCTGTATATAAACATATATGATGGTGAGGGAGAGAGGAACGGTGGAATTAGCTAATCTAAAAGATAATCACCAATGTTTATAAACTGCAGCAATTACAAAGTTATTTAGCATAGCCTTACATAATATTTCCAATAGTGACACGAAACCCAAAAACAGGAAAAATAACTGGAAAAACTGATTTTGGGGAATATTTTGAAAAAACTAACACCTTCATTTTTAAATATGAAGGCTTAGGATATTTTTATATTGTTGTGAAGGCATTGTATCACACATATATACACTATGTTATCATATATGTACATAATAAATACCTTACTACAATCATTTATATATACACAGAAAGATATAACATTTACTCCTTTTACTGTCTAATTTAAATCTCTATTTTCTTTGCCATAAAAATCCCAGTTGGTTGCACCTCACAAATTGAAATGCAGTAAGCTTCCATTTTACTTATATGTAGATCATGAATATATACTTAACAATTTAATATTAAAATCTGTAGCAAATACATTTCAAAGAATATATATTTTACAAAAAGTGGCACTGCTTTCTGATCATATTACCTATCCTCCACCTTTGATACCTAAAAAACTCTTTCCATGCCCTGGCCAGGTGGCTCAGTTGGTTGGAGAGTTGTCCCGGCATCAAAAGGTTGCAGGTTTGATCCCTGGTAGGGGCACATACTAGAGACAACCAATCAATATGTGTCTCTCACATTGATGCCTCCCCCCCCCCC